TTACCTTGCTTACCATTCATAGCCTCTCATATCCCTCCTCCCTCGCGGTCGTCTCCCACCCACAGCTGTAGCCTAGAGCTCTATTTCCACCAGATGGCAGCCTGGCTTTGCAGTTGGTGATTTCACCCTCAGCTACTCTTTCCTGGACACCCTGCAGGCACAGAAGCGCCATGTGTTGTTGGGCTCGTTGTTCTTCAGGGAAGCCAGTGACCCAGGCAGAGCTCCCCGCTCTCCTCCCCTTTCCTCTCTGGTGGAAGGAACGTCTCTCCATCACAGACGTGGTACCGCGTGAGGCCAATGCGGTGTGAGCATAGCACATGCCACCCCTTCCACACAGCAGCCCGCTTTCAGCCAGTCCTGGTGTGATATGCCTGCAGTGGCCTTCCTGTGTCACATGTTGTGGTGAACCTGCAGCCGTCTTGACCCTCCCGACCCTCGCTGGGACAGCCTAGAGCTGCCCAGGCAGTATGTAGGGGCAGGGTGCCTGCAAATGGCCTCATCAGTCATTTTCTGAGTAGGTTTGGTGGGAAAGAGCTTATCCAAGAGGGTCAGCTGCAGGTCACCACATCAGAGAACTGCTTACTACCTGCCCGGGGGTGTCAAACAGCCACATAACACACTGGGACCAGCTCCCCGTGACGCACAGGCTCGGCACGCGGGAGCCATAAGCAGGCGGCATGTCCGAGCCGGTTCTTTTCTCTCCCCCTCCTTCCCGGTGGGTAAATCCCATCAGCCGCCACCCTAAACCACCCCACGCCAGCTCTAATACCATCTCAGGTACGCCATCATGCTCACATCAGCCAGGCGAGGGATTGACGGTCCTGGGCGGGACACCCCTGCAAGAGCCGGGGGAACATTGGGCACTGTCCTGGGAAGGGGGGCAGGGTGGTGGGAAGAGGCCGCCTGCTGCCCATGTTCTCTGGGGAAGGAGAGGGAATCCAGGCCTGAGCCGAGCTTTGTCCTGGGCTAATTTTAGACCAAGGAGGTAAGAGAAGGGAGGCGCATAGAGGGGCTTAAGGGGTCCCTCTGCCCTGGTGCGGGGCAAGCCGGATCTCCGTCGTCCCTTCAAGGGCCTGGTGAGCCGACGGGGTCCTGCTGCTCTCCCCGAGCGCGGGGAGCTCCCGGTCGGGTTCGGAGCACGTCTCGCCCCACGGAATGGAGCAGAGCAGGCAGCGTTGTGGGGTGTACGTGGCGTGTGCATCCCAGCGCCAGTGCAGGGCCCTGCCGTGGGGTGCAGGGAGCACCTGGGGAGGACCCTATCGATTGAAGGATGCGTCGGAGAGTGACCATGGAGTGGGGATTCCCTGCATGAGGATGTGGAGAGACAGCCTGTGTGGGTCATCTATATGGGAGGTTGGCTGCTGTGTGGGAGAACATACATGTCAGAGGTCAGCCTGGGGGATACAGGCGCACCACATGCGCGGCGTACCTCCGCATTCAGTGGCGACAATTCTCACGGCGCCCCTCTTTCCCTCCACCCCCCTTCCTCCGCCTCTTTCCCCCCGTCCCGCCGCGCCTCCTTAAGTGCCCGCCCCGTCCCGGCCTCCCTCCGCCCCGTCCCGCCCCGTCCCGCCCCGCTCCCTCCAAGTGAGG